AGGTGATATAGACCATGAGATAAGGGTAAGAGGTGAACCATGAGAGAAGCCTTTTACCCAAGTGTTGGCCCCGTCATCTAGCAGAGTATGGATGACAACCACGGACTATTCTAGACAGTCCAGTGGATACTAGCAGGCTCGCAACCTGTAGGTGTTTTGAACTGTGTGCTCACCAGCTGTACTCTAAAACCCCTTGACATGTGTTGTGAGAGGAGTCTCAGAAACGACACTGTCGATAGACAAGATTAACCCTAGAGACTATGCAACGTAGTGCCTAAACCCCTTGACATGTGTTGTGAGAGGAGTCTCGGAATCGATAAAAGGTAATAACCCTGCGACTATGAGACTTAGTGCCTATTGAGTAAACCATGGAAACGATGGACTTTGTGTCGATTCCTTAGGATGATCCTTAGGAATGAATGAACGAGGAATAGTTGATTCTTAGGGTAGATCCTTAAGAGTAAAGAAGATAATGGGGATGGGTAATTGGGTTGATTGTTTGATGTTTAAACATAATAATTATATTATTGTGGGTTGAAAACCCTATGTACTCACCAGGTTTCCCAACCTGACCCACTCCAGCTCATTTCTATCACAAGTGTCGATATGAAGTTACATTACACTGAGAGATTAAGGAGATATAAATCCCTAGTGATAATGAATGTAAGTTCTGTTATGCTTATGTTTCTGTATTGACGATGACATCCCAAATGTTTTAAAATGAATAAAAAAATATTTTTCTTCGGAAATGCCTTGATAACGTATTTATCATGTTTTACTGGGAACAAATTCTGCAACATTTTTATTAAAAGAGGTACTCTGATTTTTATAAAGCATAAACAAAATCGGTCTTTTCTGGCCATGAAAATGGGGATGTCACAAATATATGAGGATTGATTGTGTAAATCATTCATTCTTATATATGTGGGCTTATGATCCATAGTTCTTCATGTTGGGCTAAACCCATGGAGTAACCCATGGATACTCCATGGAGGTTTTAACCCATGGAGCATGAAGAATATGGAAAGACATGAGTTACATGGTGTAACCCTAATAGCCACAATATATAAGGACCCCCTGGCTCAAGAAATTGGCACTAGTGTGTGTGCACATGAGGGCTAGCCGATTTGAGCATAGGAACCTTTTCTCTCAAGTTATTCCAAGATGTTGGTGATGTTGTGTGAACCATTTGAGGTGTCACACTTGAGGCACTAGGCTCTTAAGCTCCATGGAATCAAGCTACATAAAAATGTATGTCTTCTAACTTGTTTATATTACCCAAGTATCAATGATTGTATGATAGTTAGGGTAATATCTTGGAAAGTTCAAGTTTGCATGTATAATAGAGAAAACATAGATCCAAGGTATTTAGGGTTGCATGTACACCATAGGAGTGTTAGAATGCTCAAAACCCATCACACACAACATGCTTCCACTCCCTGATCACATTGTCATCTCAATGGAGACGAAGTCACTGACCATATACCGTTAAAGAACACTTAACTCGACAGGAGGCTCAGATGATCCTTCGAGTAGAAGATTCATTCCTGAAACGGTTAGACTCCAACGAGAGCTGGACAACAGGGTCAAATCAATTACTCTGAGATTATTTAATCCCACTGTGGGTGACTTAGCATTACCCAAACACCCAGATGCTCCTCATACACACAAAACCCAATTTGCTAGTACCGCCCGGAACACTAGCTGCCTTCTGGCTGCTTTCCAAAATCCACCCTGACCTCCTTGGTCCCGATTCGTCAGCCAATCATCTGAAATGTCGAGTCCCAACCTGGTTACTGAGCCAAAAGCTCCCATTTGAGTAAGTGATAACAGGGTACCTCAAGGAAAATACCTGCAAAATGAAGATCGATCTTCATATATACGGCCATTGCAATGATCGAGTTGAGCGATTTGAAAGAACAGTTGAAGAAATGATAGGAACAAAAAAAAGCAGAAGAATGAGACGAAATGATAGTTGAGTGTTCTTCAAGCGTTTTAGTAGGTGAATTAATTACACTTACGTGGCAACTGAGGTGGCTTTTTTAATCTATGTGGTATTACGTGGCATATGTGACCTTTTGATTAGGAAGAGGTTCACAAGGTGACCCCTTCACATTTTCCATAATGACCTTTTAAAGCGGTAAAACACAAGTACGTACCAATAAAACGCGAAAAAAAGAAAAAAAATCACGAGAAACCTTTTAAACCAATATATAAACATTATTGGACTACAGTGACAATAACCAATAAATAAATCCAACAAAGACGATTGATGAAGATATTGAGTGACTATGAGTTGCTTTGCAAGTAAATGAAATTTGTATGTATTATGTTTAAGATTTTTCAAGCTTATAAATATCAGTTTTACATGATTAGCATGCAAAATGATATAGTGTACAATGTGAAAGTTAAAAGAGAACAAGTTGCTTATGAAGAGATTTCACATTTAATATTCGTTTAATGCTCTCTTCAATTTAAGGTTACTGTCGATGGCATCATGGCACCATCTAGACCTCATACATATTTCATATCAACTTGAATATCATTCAATAACCCCACTTGTCATAACTTTTAAATTTTATTTTTTGAATATTAATTTTTTTAATGTTTATACTTTGCAATGATAATAATTTCTAATTTTTATTTTGTTTTCCTTTTTTATTTTGTGAATATAATTGTTAGTATGTGTTTACTGATTATTTATAAGAGCATATTTTAATGAATAAAAATAAAAAATAATATGAAATATGTTAAATCAAATTTTATTCTATTTTTGTCATAACATGTAACTTTTAACATATTAATATTAAAAATTATTATGAGTAGTATATTATTGATTTATTTCAACGATTTCTTATTATCTTTGCCAAATACAAGTTTCTATTGAAAACTAAATAACAAAATCAAACATCGAATATAAATATAATGTTTTTTTTTGTCATTTAGAATGTATAAATATGCATAAAGTGTCTTTCTAATTAAACAAAACATGGCTTAAAAATAATATAATATAGATAAAATATAGGCTTTTAAAACACTCATTTTTCATAATTTTATTTACACTTTTGTAATATATAGAAAAATAATTTTATTGCATTTTTGTTATAAATAAATTAATATAAAATTTGTTTATTATATACATAAATAATTCTATCTTATTATGAATTTTTTTGTCATAGGAAATATGTATATTAGAGGAGTGATGATGATATCCTTTTGAAGAGTAGCTTTTGGATATTGATGTCCAGGTAAGTCTTGTGAATGAGTTCATCTAGTGAATTTATTTATTTGATTTTTAAGGGATACATTTGTAAAATACATGTAGAGTCCAATATTGTCTCTAAAAAAAGTCATTATGGAGAGAATGATGACTCAAACATATATAAAGATATAAATGATCATGTCATATCAATACGTGATATATTAACACTCTCCTTCAGAGACGGTGGTTCGATGAGGCCAAAAAATGATGTGTTAAGCGACAGGGTGTCAATGCCGACTCTGATACTATATAAAATATATGTAGAGTCCAAGATTGTATCTCCAAAAAATCCCTTGTGGAAAAAATCATGGACAAATCCGAAATTTTCGAACTAGATATGGATTTTCAAACATTTTGAAAAAAAGAGTTCGCTTTCAATCTACTTTTCAGACAAAACAATTATAGAACTTGTTTTCGCAAGAGAAAAAATTGTTCGAAAATTGCATACTTTCGAACTTTGTAGTAATTTGCAAAAAAGTTGGTGAAAGAAATGATTATTGTCATCTAAGTTCTACCACTTTATTTGGATGGATACCCATAATAATAACAAAGAAACATATAAAATACAAATGTTGTATTCTTTAACATGTATAACAATAAGGAAAACATTTAAATAGTAAAATTTCTTAAATTAACAAAAAAAAAAACATTTCATTTTATTTCATTGGAAATAAGAGCGTTGTAATTATTCAAGTAATATTATATTGAGAGACGAGAGACTCAGGTGTTGTTTGTTTTTTCTGAGGCAAAATGTCTGCAGTCTGCGGACCATATCTGTAGACCTCTGCAGTAGAAGAGATGGACCAAACGTCTGCAGTCTGAAAAAAAAAGACTGTTTGTTTTTTTAACATCTGCGGGCTACTAAAATAAACTGAAATCTAAATAAACTGATTTTTTTAAACTTCAAAGTGATTTTGTAATATTTTTATGACTTTGTTATAAATAATTAACGAATCTAGATCAACTTTTATGTATTATTGTATAAAAAATAAAAATAAAAATGGTATGAATTAACGTATATATTTGATAAAAACCAACAACTTTGGTTGCAAAGTTATAACTAAACATTATAATTAGTGATCAAAGAATTTGATACATAAATGGATGGAAATAAACTTCGATTTTTTCAATTAAATCCATTAAAAACGTACCATAAATATTTTCTCGAGAAATTGAAGATACTGTATTAAATAATGTTTTACAAAATTTGGCAAAAAAATATAAGAATATATTATGATTTTTTTTCATATTTATATAAACAACTTCAACGGCTATTAGTGTAATAAATCTTTATTTATAAATTTGTCAAAAGTATCATGTTTGTATCGTCGAACGTTTTTTTTTAAGTTTTGTAATTTTTTTTTCAAATTGTTTATCATTAATAAAGTAGGAAAAAATATAAATTAAAAACAACTTAAAAAAAAGATATATATGTTTTTTAGGGACAAAATTGCAAAAATGGTCCCTGTGGTATGCAAATTTTTGGGGTTTTAGTCCAAGCCCCGAGTTTTTTGGATTCATGGTCCTTTTGGAGTGGTTTGTATGTGGAATTGGTCCCCGGACTTAACACCCGTTAAAAAGGATCTGTTAACTCCCTCATGTGCCTCACACGTGAGGGTATATCCGTCATTTCATATGTAAGGGACCATTTTTGCATAAACCTTTTTTGGCTTAATTCATTTTAAAGATCCCCACCGTTTCTATCTTCTTCCCTAATGTTCCCCAACGTCTATTTTTTCTACCCTTCTTCTTGAGCTCTGTTACAACAACAATGGTTCAATAGTGAACCAGATCCAAAGAAAAGTGCTATGGTTTCCCCAATCCCAAAAGCAGCAGCTAAGGCTAAAGAAGTTGAAACAGATGGAAGAAACTTCTTCTTGCTTCCACTCATGCTATCTAAACAAAAAAAAAAGGTTTTTCTTGATTAGGTTAAGTAAGAGTAAATAACAAGTAGTTATCGATACATAAATTGGAATTACCATGGCTGAGAAAAGTGGAGTCATCATCATCATCATCCTTGACTAATACTGCTTGTTCTTCAGCAACAAATAAGGTTGTGATATTGAGTAGAGGAATATTGAACAATTTTGCTACCAGATTGAATATTGATATGGAAACGCCAACAACAGCCAATTCAGCAAAGCCTAAAAGGAGTAACTAGATACATCAGATGCTTATATGAGAATTGGATAATTTTTTTTCAGAGAAAACATTGTCAATTGAAGAAACCTGATAATATGCATTGTACTGAGATTATGAGAATGAGTTTTTACCTAAATGACCAACAAATGCAATATCAACCAGTGAAGTAATTGGATCAGCAGGAAGAGCTAATGCAACTAGCAATGCGATCGACATGATCTCCGTTCCAAGTTCATCTAACTTAAGCTTCTCTCTGCACTCCAAAACAAATCAAAACAACTAAATCACACACTTCGATAAGAAAAAATCAATCTTGCCTCTCCTTTATACATTCATACTCCCCAAATCAACTCGTTTAAATTGCTACTAGAATTCGGATATTTAAAATTGATGGTAAAAGCTAGACAAATGTCAAGAAATATTACCTAAAAACTTTAAATCAACGACGCGAATGGCTTGGATGAAATGGAACCAGAAGGTGAAGAAGGTGCGACTTCATCTAAGTTCTCATCATCATCATCTGATTCAGTTTGGGATTTAAATCCGGGTTTTTCTACAGGGCGTTCTGGGGATGAAGTGCTAGGGTTTTGCCTGGATGATGATTTAGGTAAAGTTCGAAATCGAATTGAAGAATCGGGGATTTGTATGAATGATTGAACTCTGAAACAACGATTACCATGTTGACAATTTCATGAACGAATAAGATGATTGTGGTGAAAGATACAGATGTTGCTCATAATTTGCAGAATCTAAGAAGGAGAAGAGCAACTGGAAACCAGATACAAATTTTGTTACTCACTAATTTTAACGAAAAAAATTGCAAAAATGGTCCCTTACATATGAAATGACGGATATACCCTCACGTGTGAGGCACATGAGGGGGTTAACAGATCCTTGTTAACCGGAGTTAAGTCCGGGGACCAATTCCATATAGAAACCACTCCAAAAGGACCATGAATCCAAAAAACACGAGGTTTGGACTAAAACCCCAAAAATTTGCATACCACATTGACCATTTTTGCAATTTTGTCTTTTTTAGGTTAGAAGATGTCTGAAGATGTTAGAAGACTCCGGTTCACATCTGCGCCAAGAAGAGGGCGCGCGGACATTTTTAGGTCTGCAGTCTTCAAAAAAACAAACAGTCTGCGAAGGCTAATGTCTGTGTGTGGTCTGCGCGGCGCAGACAGAAGAGGTCACGCAGATCTGCAGATAAAAAACCACTACCTCAATATCCTTCTACCAAATATTTATACTTATCATCTTACTCACCGAATAACGATAAATATCAATATTATTAAACAGATAAGAGGATAAAATAATACAGCACACATGTCACAAAATTTTATTTTCCTACGAATGATATTTTAAAGAACATATGACATATTGGCATACGTTATGTGGTATTTAGATAAAATAATTAATATATCATTACACTTATGTATTCCCAAAAATAATGGAATAATTATAGTATCATAAAATGCGAAAAGAAAAGGTCAAGAAGCAAACTATTATTCCTCCTTAGTTCTACAATACCTTGCCATTGACTGAAGAGTTAAAGATTCATATTTAATATATTTTATCTAATTTTTTATTGTAATACAACAATTAAATATAATTAATCATTGTATTGATGTTGATGATCAAATTAGCTATATATAATGTTTGATTAAATTAAAATTCAATTTTTCGCTAAAAAGCATAACACTTGCTCTACTTCCTATGTAAAAAACGTGTTTTTTGGATTCTTGAAGAGGAGATAACGCCGTCTAAATCCAAACCAAATGCCGATGGTTTTGGCATATCTTTTTTGGTGCAGATCTTTTCTTCTTTCCTCTTAACCGACGAACCTAAACCTTGAATTTTAAAAAGGAAAGAAATCCCTTGAATGAAATCTCTATGTTTCTCGTAATAATTAGTATTCTAAGAAAGAATCCGTCTTCCAACTCCGTCGTACTACTTTATCTCAGTCTCACTAAGATTTTGATTTAGATTCTGAGTGATACCCAGATCGGATTCCGGCCAATAATTTGTAATCTCCGACTACCCTTTTGATATTTCGCAAAATGATTGAAATTGTTCAGATATATGATGAAATAGAGTAAAGAGGGCCATGATTGAATTTCTATATTCGACTGTGTTTGTGACTCATAAGTCATCAACAATGTGTCGATATTAAGATATTTGAATCCGGGTTTCCTTTTTTGTAACTTGAGATAGATTGATTAATGGGTACTTGTTTTAGTTCCGATGATGATGAACAACATTCTTTCCAAAACAACCCAGGTATATTCCACGATTTCAACTCCACTTTCTTGATGCTTTTTCTTTAATTTCTTGTGTGCATTCTTAATTCGATTAGCCCTAGCGTCGATTGAACATTATTATATTCAAAGATTGAAATTTAACTTGTAAAATATTATAAGGGATGAAGAAAAATGATTTTCCACTTCTGTTTTCATATGATCTCATAGTAACTTCCGGAATTCAAGTTTTACACAGATGTTCTATTTTGTAAAACTAAAACGTTTCTTTAACAAACTTCTACATTCTTTAGATAAGATTACCATTAAATCAGTTTAACTTCACGAGATGTGTAAATTTGAAGCGCAACATTTCTCTAAATGTCGCTATTCAGATTCATTTCCCTCTATTCGAGTAGTTTATTTCTATTCATTTGAATCATGAAAATAAAACCTCTAACAACAGAGTCCCCATGTGGTTATTGATTAAAGATTGAAAATTTCAGGTGAAAACCAAGGGTTTCCGTCTAAAGAAGCCTTGAAGATTCCATCAAAACAGAGTATCTTGGAATCTCCCAATATAAAGAGTCCTAGTAGTGTAGTGGTGATCACAAAAGATGTTAAATCTCTTAGACAAAACCCTGGATCTTATAGCAATCTTGATGTTTTTACATATGATGAGATGCGAATTGCTACTAAACTCTTTAGACCAGATCAAGTTCTAGGTGAAGGTGGATTTGGAGTTGTTTATAAAGGACTTATAGATGATAATGTAAGATCTGGTTATTCTAAAACCCAAGTTGCAGTTAAAGAACTTGATCCTGAAGGAATTCAAGGTGATAGAGAATGGCTGGTATGTAATTCCATTTCCATGTATGCTCTTATGTTTATACATGTATGTATGTATGTATGTAAAGTTATATAATTTTCAGGCTGAAGTGAATTATTTAGGACAACTACAACACCCAAATCTTGTGAAGCTTATTGGATATTGTTGTGAGGAAGATCATCGCCTATTGGTGTATGAATATATGGCATCTGGAAGCTTGGAGAAACACCTATTTCGAAGTGAGTATCTTAATAAATCATATATATTTTGTAATATTGTTATAATGGTATTGAATTTTGTATGTAAAAGGAGTATGTGCAACATTGACATGGTCAAGAAGAATCAAGATTGCTTTAGATGCTGCAAAAGGGCTTGCTTTTCTCCATGATGCTGAAAGGCCAATCATCTATCGCGATTTCAAGACATCAAATATCTTGTTGGATGCTGTTAGTTTGTCTAAATTAATAAAAAAAAAAATTTAAGTTGATAAAAAATGGTAGGGAGTTAATGTGAAAATAAATTTTCAGGACTTCAATGCAAAATTATCTGATTTTGGACTTGCAAAAGATGGACCTATGGGAGATCAAACACATGTATCGACTCGAGTTATGGGTACATATGGATATGCAGCTCCTGAATATGTCATGACTGGTATGTATGTATGTATGTATGGGAGAATGTGGTTTTATGTTGTGTGAATTTTTTTTTTTTTTTCAGGGCATTTGACAGCAAGAAGTGATATATATGGATTTGGAGTGGTGCTTTTGGAGATGCTGATTGGTCGAAGAGCAATGGACAAAAGTAGGCCAAGTCGTGAGCATAATTTGGTTGAATGGGCTAGACCACTTTTAGTTCATAATAAGAAACTTGTGAGAATACTTGACCCAAGAATGGAAGGTCAATACTCATCAAAAACTGCTTTTAAAGTTGCTAATTTGGCTTACCAATGTCTAAGTCAAAACCCTAAAGGTAGACCGATTATGACTCAAGTGGTTGAGACACTTGAGTCGATTCAGACACGTGAAGAAGAGGTTCTTTTTCAAGGTGGGAGTGTGACTTTGTTTGAAGCACATGATGTTAAGAAGAAGGAAAATGAAGTGAAAGTGGAAGGTGAAGGTGAGGCTCCGAAGGAGACTATGGTGTGAGAGGGGTTATATGTGTATTTTGATGGGAACTTTGTTGTACAAGATGTAATGGATAGTTTTTTTTTGGGAATTACTTTGAATGTTTTTGATGATATTTTGTTAGGAAAATGAGATTTTCCACTTGACTTTAAGTTGTGAATTAGTTTTGTTTATGATGTTGATCTAAAGTAGTAGTTTTGTTGTTATATCTAGATTTTAATGGCCATTTGTAATTGTGTGGGTTGTTTTCAACTTTTCATGGGATTTTTATGTAGTGTTTGGGTGTACACGGAAATGGGTATATAATTGTTTATTTCATTGGAATAAAGAAATTGTATTTCAAAGAAAAAAAAATGTATTTCTTTGTGGATCGGTTGAAATGGGGATGTGATTTCTTGTAGAGTAAATTACAAGAATGATCCATGAGTTTCTTGAAAATGTTCATTGTTTTCTTTCCCTTTTCCTTTTTGCAAATTTCAGACAAACTTTAAGGGTGCGTTTAGTTGTGGAAAATTTTCCAGTTTTCTAAGAAAATTTTCCAAGAAAAACGGAAAATTTGAAAACGCGTTTGGTTCGTTCAGTTTTCCAAAATTTTCCAAGAAAATGAAAATTTTCAGTTTTCCAAATTGTATGTAAATTAGAAAAGTGATTTTTACAGTTTTCCAAAGTTTTCCAAATTTATAAGATGGAAAATGAAAACTTTCCCTGTTTCAACCAAACGAGTTTTCTAAAATTTTCATTGAAAATTGAAAATGAAAACTCAACTCTATTTTCTGAAAACATTTTCTTAGAAAATGAAAACAATTTTCCACAACAAAACGCATCCTTAAGGGTGTGATTGGTTGTGGAAAATTTTCCAGTTTTCTAGGAAAATTTTCCAAGAAAAACGAAAATTTTGAAAACGCGTTTGGTTCGTTCAGTTTTCCAAAAATTTTCAAGAAAATGAAAATTTTCAGTTTTTCAAATTGTATGTAAATTAAAAAAGTGATTTTTACAGTTTTCCAAATTTCTAAGATGGAAAATGAAAACTCCTTCGGTTTCATCCAAATGGGTTTTCTAAAATTTTCATTGAAAACTGAAAGCGAAAACTCAACTTTATTTTCTGAAAACATTTTCTTAGAAAATGCAAACAGTTTTGTGAAACACAAACCATTTTTGTCTTAATTGGGTATTTTCCTTCCAAAAATTGGATGCTTTTCGGGTTTTGTGAAACACAAACCATTCTTGTAATTTATTTAAAAAATAATTTCAATCATACAATACAATACAACCAAACATGGTTATAAAATACAACAACCCATTTTATTACTTTGTATATCAAGTTACCTTGTCAAACAAAACCTTATCCTTGATATGATATCCGATGATTGTTCATTGTTTTTTTTATACATTTTCCAAGTTGTATGTAAGATTGAGTTACATGTTTCACATATAAAAAGCTTAGCAACACGATGCCTATTGTACATTTCAATAGCTTAGTACACAAAAAAAAAAATATGTGATGCAAAAAAAACTTTTTTGCTTCTCACTTTGAAACAAAAACATCATGTCATGTTCCAATATTGCCTTTAAACATACAATCAATCAACTAGAATACATAACAACAACTCAAGCTTTAACTTCCAACCACCAAATCCTCAGCCTCCTAAGCAATCTATGCTATCATTTCCCTGCATAAAAAAAAGATCCATCATGTATGAACACATTAATTCATTAAAAAAAATATAATTAAAAAAAAAAAGCATATTCTTGCTTACCCCAAACTTGATGCAATCTTGATACTAATTGTGTAATTGATCTCCTCTCCATAGCATTTGGGAATTCCATGTTTACAGCTTCCTGAATTGCACCCAAGAATTGTCTCCTTGCTTTTGTAGTCAATACAAGCTGATTTGCTCCATGCCCACTACTTAAGTCAACCGCCTAAAATAAATTATTAATTATTTTTAATTCATTAAACCTCAAAAATAATAATTTTTAACACAAGAAAATTACCTGTTGGAGCCAAGGGATTATTGAACTCATGAATTGTTGTTCAGACAAGAAGAAAGCCAAAGTCCCAAGAACATCATTTGCAGTTCTATTCGATAAACTTTCCAAAACGGGCCCCGTTTTATCAAGAAGATCCACTAAAACCATTTCATCACCACAATTCAAAGCTTCAACATAAGCCGAGTCTAAATCCCCTTGTAATAAATACCCTTTCACAATTTCAAACGGACCATTCCCATTCCTGACACTCGAACCAAATCCGGAATCGACAATTCCATTCCGAAGTCCATGCATTCCCTTTTTTACAGGATTTCTACTTGTTTTTATTACCCTTGGATCCATCCATGAGGCTTCTTCCCAGGAATCGGATTTTCTCATACTCTGTAATGGTGATTTCCTGTCCACAGAGGATCTTGGGGTGCATGTTGAGAGTCTAGGGGAAGGAATGGTGGAATTCTTTTTTGAAAATTTAGGGGCGGAATCGGAATATGTTCTTCCATTGTTAGTTATGTCTTCTGACATTCGATCCACTACGTTTTCTAAAGTGGAGACTTTTGATTGAATCATGGATAAGCTATCCATTGTCTTTCTTGCAAACACCTGATAAATAAATTTAGTAATCAAGTAAAAGCTTATAAAAATTGTTTGTTTTCATTCCTTTTCCATCATCAAAACGAATGAAAATATGCAATATGAAGTATGAAGTATAAATGTAAAATACCTGCAACAAATCCAAGAGATTCGATTGTTTGGATTCAATTTCTAGAAGCTTCTCTCGAATGCAAGACATTTCTTTTGCTGTTTGCACACAACACGCACGTGATTCATGCCCAATTATCGAACTTGATTCAGTCACAGTTGAATCGAGGCTTTTCCGATCTTGAACCTTTGGAAAATACCTCTGTTCTTCAGTACTAGCTTCTTCCTCGATTTCATTTTGATTTGATTTTACGAAATTACCCTTCACATGATCGTCGCCGATGACTGTTACCGAAGAGGATTCTTGTTTGTCATCCATGGGCACGTATTCGTATCCGGTATCTTGAATCGATGTGATGTCCGATTTAGTCCTTTCGAATGTTTTTGTGACAGAACTACCCTCGGATTCTTCATCGCGAGTGTATGCTAATGAGATGTTACGTGTTTTTGGGACATTCACTTCTATTTGCCAATCTTTTGTATCGGAATTTTGAGGGCTTTCTACATAACTTATACCTGTTTTTCTAACAGAAAGAGGAACCCTTTTTTTATTGGATTCACTGTAATCACCTGAAATTTTAGCAGAATGTTAATAGAAGCTATTCGCAATGATCAAATATACCTAAAATACCCCTCTAATAACAACATTATCACAATTAAACCTTTTATAGAAGATCCAGCTTCTGAAAGCTCAGATGCATCAGTTCCCAGAAGACTTTTCCAGAGTTGTAAAGCCTGAAGTACTGTATCCCTAACTGGTTTGACCTATATAAATAAATAAACAAAAAGTAACTTTTTAATCCAACGTATATTCATAAAATGAAATGTAATTTTCAGAAAATTAGTTGCAGAATAACATGAACCTTATCAAATCGACATAATTCAAGTGAACGAATGCAAGATGATTTGATAGAATCAGAGAATGATCCATTGGTTGAAGTGGAAGCAAGTTCTAATAATGCTTCACATGCAGCTTTTCTTGTTCTCCAATCACTGTTCTTAAGAGCTTCTTGGATGCTACTCATTGCAGCATTTAAAGTAGTTTGTGTTGAAGCACCTCCTGCCTGAAATTTTAAAAAAGGTAATTTTGAAATGATTCACTTGTTACAGAAAAAGAAATGTACAAAAACAGTCAAAGTTAAAACAAGGAATTAAACGAGTTAAATTACTAAACTAACCTGAATGATACTTCTGTTTAACTCAATCATGGCTGGTTTAGCCATGAAGTGTGGATTCTTCAGCATCTTTGTAGTCCTTATCAACATACGTTGTAGAATAGACACAGGTGGGTCCCGCGTATGATCAATTACACGTGATAAACACAATGCTGAACCACATTGAGCATGTTTATTTTGATCACCTAATGCTTCAAAAAGAGGTCTCACTAGTAAAACGAAACTACCCTCTTGCTCATTATCAGTAGTGCTCAATTTGGATGCCAAAATACTCATAGTCTCAATACAAGCATTTCTCACAACAGAATCTGGATCTTTGAGTCGTTTAACTATACTAATTACCATTTTGCCCAGGTGTGGGATAATGAGATCTTGGTGGAAGGTTGCGAGGGTGCCCATTAATTTTATACATTCCTTTCGAACAGCTATCTTTTGCTCTGAATCGGTGTCTAAAATGCATGACAAAAATGGTGAAACCCCGTCTGGAGTTAAACTCTCGATTGTTCTTCCAAGTTCTTCAACCCCAATTTCATATGTGTCTCTGTCAGCAATCTTGTTTAATGCGAGAATAACACGTTGTTTTAGCTCAAAGATCACATGTTGGTTGCTAACCCTAGATGTTATCCCTTTCGATTTCAGTGGAGCATGCATCTTCATCTTAATTCTTAAGCCCCTTCAACAAATTCTTAGTATAGGCCTGGCTGTTACTGAAGCTCCATCAATAAACAGAAAATAAAATAGTGTGTAGTTTGAAATGCATCAGTTGATCATGGAAAGCATCGTCGTACTACTCAAAATCAGTACCTAGATGAAGATCAGGCCCAGAATGATCCAAGCTGCAAGAACATAAATGATAAAACAAATCATTACAGGAGACAGAACTGTTCATCGGGCCAAACGATAGACTTTATACACAGTAAAACCCTAGAAAGAAACCAATGAAGAGCATTTTCTTTCGTATTTCCCCCAAAAGGAATAAACTTAACTAAGTGCAACTAATTGCAGCACAAAAGAGGTAAATTGCAGTGAATAGATCATTATGCGAAAGTGAAAAACTTTAGAAGAAAGAACATACATTGAATCGTACGGCATCAAGCCCTAGTTTTAGAAACAGAAATGTAGCGAAAATAAGATCCAAATAAAATTAAGGAATTACTCATAAAACATTGCAAGATTTGGGTTGAAATATACTTACGGAATGGGGGAGATCATCTTCATCAAGGAGTGAGGAATTTGAAGCGAATC